ACATCAAGGCTGGCACTGTGGACTGCATATTAACCAACTAGATCTACTTTAAATCAATAAAATCCAGAAACATTGTTTTAATTTTGTCTTTGGCCTCTAGTGCACATCACAGTGTTTATCCCATAGGGGGCATTTCATAAACCTTTACTGCATTGAATACAATTCCTATGGTGAAAAATTTTCACTTTGGGCTTTGTTTGGTTAGATGCAATTATTTGCTTGACATTTTTCATTTGAAATGTTTTGAACCAGTGAGTGGTAATACTGAGTAGGAATAGAATTACAATTGATTTATTTAACTTTACGCCAGAAAAATTTGCCCACTCAGGCAGCAGAATTCAGTCATCTAGTCTGCTGAGCACTTGCCTACTTTAATGCCAAGTTTCAGCTTCTGTTGACATATTCATCAAGAGTGTTCATCTGAAACTATACTAAAACTATTGATTTTATCATTTTTGCCCTTGGTCTCAACTTCCTTATTTGTAAGATCAACATATAATTGCCTATTCCCCAAGAACTAGTAGAAACTATGTCATCTACCAATTAGATACTACTATACACATGCCATTAGTATTGCTTTCAATGGCAGTGATTCAATATTCAGATATATTGAAGTCAGTTGTATATTGTAAGCAATAAAGTACTCAATTTTTAAACATTATATATTTTGAAAACATATTCAGATTTAGGACTATCACTATAACACACATTCTCATTGACATTTAAGTTGATTTTCCTGAAAGAAAACAAGGTGGAATTATAGCCAGGTCTGAGGAATTACACGGAGCATACAAGAAGTCTCACCAGTCACTGGTCCGCTGTGGGACTGTGTGACACACGTGAATGTCATCAGTCACATGCCTCACAGTGAAGGGAAAGGTTGCACATTCCTGTTCTACAGTTATAACCTTTACTGGGCATTATAATCACTTTTGAAAATGTTACATGCTACACTAGGATTGTTCACCATTAAAAATAAGTTTCCCCGCCCTGGCCAGTTTGGTTCAGTGGTTAGAGCATCGGTCCAAGGACCAGTAAGTCTCAGGTTCCATTCTGGTCAAGGGCATGTACCTCGGTTGTGGTTCGGTCCTGGCCCTGGTCGAGGTCATGCAGGAAGCAACCAGTCGATGTCTCTATCTCACATCAATGTTTCTCTCTCTCTCTTCCTCCTACTCTGTCTGAAAAATAAATGGAAAAAGGTCCTTGGGTGAGGATTTAAAAAAAAAATAGTTTCCCTGATGACACTATTTAGTATTGCACCTAACCACCTACCTTTGTAATCCCATCTTCATACTTTATTTTCCTCAAAAGCACTCATCTCCATTTGACATGCTATATATTTTAATTATCTCTTTATATCTTCCTTCTAGAATATAAACTCTCATTGAGGTCAGGGATAATTGTACTTTCTATTGTTTCCTGAACTTCTATGACATTGCCAAAATTAAAAATAAAGTAGTGATAAAAGATAAACTTTCTAATATAGTGGGTAGTTTCTCTGTTTAATGAAATACAAACAATTACAACATTTTTCAAGGACTTGAATAGTATATTAATTCCAAGAACTTCGGGAGGAAGAAACACTTTTCAAATCAGTATCTTCTAAAGGAAAACTATACATTAATTATCAGATGAGACAGTACTGTAAACTAAACAATAGATTAGAAATTCTACTAAATGAGACTAATAAAACTTTCCTCTGAAATATAGTATTAAGAAGGATGAAACTAAGATGAACCTATTTTTAACTGGCAACTAGAAGTAAAAATATAAAGTCTCAATTTATTTCACTAAAAGGTGATACACTTTTTTTTTGCCCTGGCCGGTTTGGCTCAGCGGTTGGAGCGTCAGCCTGCGGTACAGAGAGACCCGGGTTCAGTTCCCGCTAAGGGCACGCACCTCGGTTGCAGTTTGTCCCCGGCCCTGGTTGGTCGTGCGGGTGCCACCCGATGTGTCCCTTCACATTGATGTTTCTCTCTCTCTCTCTTCCTCTCTCTCCCTCCCACTCAATCTGAACAAAGAATGGAAAAATGTCCTTGAGTGAGGATTAAAAAAAAAAAAAGTGATACACTTTTTTTAAGTGATAAACTTGAATAATGCTGAACATGAATGGGCTCATGCAATATATTTACTTTTAATTAAACTTTTTATTTTGAGGTGATTGTTAATTCACATGCAGTTGTAAGAAATAAAACAGAGAGATCCCATGTATCCTTTACCCAGTTTTCCCCAGTGGTAACATCTTGCAAAACTGTAGCACAATTCCACAGCCTGAATATTGACATTGACACAGTTAATACATGCAACATTTCTACCACCACAAGAAACTCTCATGTTGCCCTTGTATAGCCACATCTACTTCTCTCCTGCCCCAGTTCCCTAACTTCTAGGAACCACTAATGCAGTCTACATTTTTATAATTTTGTCATTTTAAGAATTTTAAGAATATAAATGAAATAATTTGATCTAAGGTTACAGTGTTCAGTATGTTGAAATTGGCTTTTTTCCCCAATTAAGCATAATTCTCTGGCAATTCATATAGGTTGCTGAGTGTATCAATAGCACCTTCCTTTTTATTAAATAGCATTCCATGGTATGGATGTACCACAATTTGTTTAACCATTTAAATGTTAAAAGACATCTGATTTTTCCAGTTTGGGGCTATTATAAATAAAGTGGCTACAAGTATCCATGTACAGATTTTCCTATGAACACAAGTCTTCTATTCTCTGGAATAAATACTCAGGAGTGCTATTGCTGGCTTGTATAGTAGTTGCATGTTTAGTTTTTAAAGAAACTGCCAAACTGTTTACATTCCCACCAGGAAGACATAAGTTATCCACTTTCTCTGCATTCTTGCCCCGCATGTGGTGTTATCACTATATTTTTATTTTACCCATTCTGATAGGTATGTATTGATATTTCAGTGTGGTTTATCTTCCTGATGTGGAAGGTCATGCAATATATTTTATTCCATAAAATTGTCAAATGGATAAGTAGGTAGTCATTGATAATCCTTCTAAAAAACATCTAGATCTGTATTGTTTGATATGGTAGCCGATGGCCATATGGGAGTATTAAATTTAAATTAATCAAAATTAAACAAAATAAAATTCAATTTTTCAGTTGTACTAGCAATATTTTGAGTGCTCAATAATAGGCACATGTGTCTAGTAGCTACCATATAGCACTGTGCAGATACAGAAGATTTTATTTATTTGTTTATTTATTTATTTTATTTTTTTGTTAATCCTCACCCAAGGATATTTTTTCATTGATTTTTAGAGAGAGTGGAAGGGAAGGAGGGAGAGAGAGAGAGAGAAACATTGATGTGAGAGAGACTTATCGATTGGTTATCTCCCACATGACCTTGACTGGGGCTGGGGATCGAACTTGCAACCCAGGTACGTGCCCTTGACTGGGAATTGAACCTGCAACCTTTTTGTCCATGGGCTGACACTCTAACCACTGATCAAAACTGGTAGATACAGAGCATTTTAAACATCTCAGAAAATCTATTGGACAAGAGTAAACTAGACACTGAACAAAATGGTTCATGACACTATTAAATGTTGATTTAAAAAACAGGGGAAGACATTAAAATATGAAACATATTGGTGAATACATGACCCTATAAATTATAGAGATAGAAAGAATGTGGATTTATTAGCAAGGCATATTTGCATAATGTACAACAACCTACAGTACTATACTGTAGATTTTTAGTGATTCTAAGCTTCATGGGTCCATTCCTATGACAATCCTTTTTTCTATGAGTTGATGCAGTTTGGAACATTACTAGCTAATTGATGTGGCATCTGATATTGGAGTATATTTATCCTGACATTGCATGTTATGTTACACTCAGACACCATCTGACAAGTGTTGGATATATTCATTCATCATTTTATTTGCTAAAGGGGATATATCCACTTTATAGAATTCAGTTTTTAAAAATAATAAACTGAAATGATATAGAAGCAATTTTAGCAAGAGTAAAATTTCAGGGTAGCAAAGCCCAAGTAAAGATAAAATATATGCAAATAAAATGTAAAATGGCTAAAAATTATAAAGATTTCAGAACTAGAGCTTCTTGTTATTTAATTGATTCAACAACTATTTATAAAATGCATGTTATCAGAGTTCCACCATCAATTTCAAATTTGCTCATTACTTAATAGAAAAGTGAGAAGAAAAAACAGCCCATTTTATTCTACATCTAGTTTCCTTCCCTATTTATTTCATATAACCATAAATATCTTTCACAGTCATACCAGCCACATTGGACCCCTTTATTATTTGAAAAAAATACCTTGCACTTTCTGCTTTCCTGGCTAACTTATATTTTACCCTCATTAATTTATTCCATATATATTTATCAAGTGCCTACAGTAAGCCAGGAAATTCTAGGCACCAAAGTACATCCATCAACAAAACAAATATCCCTGTCTAAACACTTACATTCCAGTGTGGGGAGGTGGTGGTGTCGGTAAATAAACAATAAATATAATAAATAAACTAGAAGATAAGTGCTATGGAAAAAGAAAAAGAACAGGTTAAAGGAGAATGAAATGGGAGGTTTGAGACAGATTAAGTCTGTTATAGGCTCATTTGTTGAAATCTCAGCTCTTCTCCAATGTCCATCTCAAATGCCACTTTCTCTATGACGCTCTGCTTAATACATTAAAATGTACTTCTCCCACTCTGCTCTTTTAACACTTCCTCTCTCTATTAGAACTTAGGCTTGTGTTAGATGTGAACATATCTGTCCTTTCATTAGGCTGTAAGTCCTTAATAAAGAGAATGTGCCTCATTAATCATTTTATCCCTTGCAGAGTCACACATAGTGGTTGGCTTAATAAGTGTTTATTGAATAATGAACTGTAAATTGAACATGAATTGCAAAAGACCCAGGTTATTTATAAAAGATAATCCTGATATTAGGATTCAAAATATAAATTCAGCATGGAAACATAGGGTGCCGATCTGTGTTCACACTTACATTGTTCCCTTCTGCTGATGTCTACAGAGCTAGAAAGACAGTAACTGTTTTGTTGGAAGAAAGTCCTTTTCTGCTTTTGCTGGAATTCTAGTAAAAAAAAACGCCACATATTAACATGCCCAACAAATTAAGCAAAATAGTGACATCATCAGGGAGTTAAATTTGTCTTTAGAGCTGTCATGTATTATCCATGCTGCCTACTAAATGAACTATCAAGAATCAGATTTGGGCAATGTAACCAGCACTGTAGTCTTTATATAATATCGTGCTTTTATCTGATAAAATAGGATTTATGTGAAATTGTTAATCTTTATTTTTCTTTTTTTCAATGAATAAAAAAGCTACATTCTTCTCTATTTCTATCACAAAATATACTGCTTTACATACCTGAGAACCAGTAGAACTTGTTGGTTAAGAAATTGTATTTCTTACAACATAATAACATCCTATCTGGAAAGTGCTGTTATAAACAACATTTACTACATTCATGAGTACTGAATAAAGCATAGCTATAAAATCGATTTTGATTATACATTCTGCAGGTATCTAATCAGTAGGTATAAATAAAAGACTTCCCTGAACAATCACAACTAAAAGTACATGTAGTTTTTGCATTTTGCTTCTTTTTAAAAAATGTTTTAGAATGTAAAAATTTAGTGCATAATTAGAGAGCATTTATAAATTCTTATTAATTCAAATAGATTGAATTGGTTGCATTAGTGTTAGTGTTCCTTTTTTGAATAGGGATGTGACCACATGAAATATTAATGTTGTACTGAAATTGCTGATGACAAATTCTTGTGATGATAAAGAATTTAAAACAAGCCTCTTTTGCATAAGGGTATTTGTATTCTTAATATTTTTATTAAACTGAAATATTGATGTTTTTGTTAAAGATGCTTATTTTTATTCAAAATACACATTATGGTACACATTTCTATTCAGTTTTATCCCTGATGTGCAGAGAAAGGCCATAGAGGATAATAATTAGAGTTCATTGTTAGAGAAATGGAGATTATTCCTTATGATAATTATAAGACATTTGATGGGTCATAAGTGAGAAAGGTAACAGTAGTGAGGGGAAAGAATTTGCTGGTCAAAACAGAATAAATGTAAAAGATGTACAGGATGATCATGAACTTGAGAAACCATGCTTATACCCGCTAGATTCAGTGTTTGTTTGCCTTAAAATTTGGAAGTTATGTCTTATTTTTATTTTCCCTCATGGCTAGTACAACGCTATATGTATGTGTATGTAATACAGGCCTGCAATAAGTGTCTATTTAATTAATTACTTATATTGGACAGACAAGTTGTTAAAGTTACTTTTTGTCTTTGAGGCTGTGTGCAAATGCTATCAAAACAAGTGATAAATTTGACAAAAAGAAAAATTGTTATGTGAAATAATTTGAGACAATTCTAGTTGTTTGACTTAATTTTTAAGGTTTTGACAATCTATTTATCATCATATTATAATAAGAGAGTTTAAGTGGGCCAAATCTATAGTTGGTTAATCCTCTTTGGTAAAAAATATCAGCATTAGTATCTCATAATAGTGATTTTTAATCAAGTGTGTTTATATCTGTGTATGATTTGAATTAGGTGTCTGTCAACACAGAATGAATATTTTAGTGCATAGCTGCTGAAATACACACACATATACACACACACAAAATTTATAAGTTTAGGGCTTTTAATAAATGAGCTTCTCTATAGAAAAGATACAACATAGTGACTCAATATAGGCTATTTTATTTGCATAAAAATGAAAAGAATGATAATAAATTGTTAACAGTATATGTATTTCTTTTAGCTATACAATTTATTTCACTACTGAATTAAAGTTCTTACTTAGGGCTGTGAATTCCTCTTGCATCTTGTAGATGTTCTGACTTGCTACTGGTTTATCAGTAAACATTAGCTGGGTGTTGTCATGGTAAGAGAAGACATGTTGTTAATCTGTCCATATAAGCAGGCCCACTGCTGCCAGCAGATAAGAGAGCGAACAGAAACAAGGTATAGTGTTGAAGTATGAAAAACTAAAAGGTCAAAAAAAGCATGCTTATCCTTCAAGAATGATTTCTTTGAATACTATTTTTAGAGCAATATGCAAATAATATAATTGAAGGTCAACAAAAAGCAATTTCAAATATAATTTAAGAAGTGGGTACATAAATATCATTTTTATTTTAGCTTGAAATACGCACTATGGTGGTGTGGGGTCCTTATTAAGTTGTAGACAAATGATAAAGATTTCTTTTCTGTAATATCCGGTCATACTTCATACAGATTTTTCCGATGAAAGACCTATAATAGAAACTTCTCTTTAACTTTAAAGAACAGTACAGTCAAATGTATCTTTGATTATTTAGACTCTGATCAATTTTACTCTCCCCTCAAAGCATCCATCTTTAATTTCTTTCTGTGAACCCAAAATGAAATTTCAAAATGTCAATTCAAAATGGCATTTATTATCCAGGCACTTTAAATCAATAAGCACTTAACACCTATAATGTGCCTAATGTTGGGCTATGTATGCAATGGAATTCCTTAAAATGAAAATTGTACACAATATATTTTGTTTGACAGTTAAGACTTATACACACTGACCAATTAAAGAAAACAGTATGCTGGGCTTTGCATGCAGACAAAAATGCCATGGTTGTTCAGAGAAATGATGGATTATTATGAAGTAGGGAAGTTGGGAAAAAACTTCCCAGAGGAGGTAGGTTAAGTTGGGAAAACTGTATACATCTAAAAGTGGATGAGGAAGAAAAACCAGTGTTCAGGTTCTGGGAAACAGCAAGAGCAAAAGGAAAAGGGTGAGGTATTTTAGCCCGTGGAGAATAAATCAGTCTCTTAGAGCAGATTTGTTTGTTTGGAGTGGTGGGGACCCGGCCTTCACTGTAGCCTCAGACTGTGTTTTCAGATTGACTTTAAGTTTCAGAGTGTTCACCTCTTATCTAGCTTTATCTTGTTCATATTACCTGTGGCCTTCTCTTGCTTATGCTATTGAGATATTACCTTTCTTAAAAATAATTATTCATTTTCAATTACAGTTGACATACAATATTATATTAGTTTCAGGTGTACAATATGGTGATTTGACATTTATATAACTTACAAAGTGATCACCCTGATAAATCTAGTATCCATCTGGCACCATACATAGTTATTACAATATTATTGACCATATTCCTTATGCCATACTTTATATTCCCATGACTATTCTGTAAATACCAATTTGTATTTCTTAATCCCATCTCCCTTTTCACCCATTCCCCAAACACCCTTCCTACCCAGCAACCATCAAAATATTCTGTGTCTATGCATTTATTTCTATTTTCTTTGTTTTTTAGATTCCACATATAAGTGAAATCATATGGTATTTGTCTTTCTCTGACTTATTTCACTTAGCATAATCACCTCATTTCATCCATGTTGCTGATAGTACACTTTTAAGTTTTCCACTCCAGAATCAGAATATCCTTTCTTATATTCCCATATACTAAGCAGTTTCCCATTTCCTGTTTTCTTCAGCTACCTGTGTTTCTTCCTGAAGACTGTCCTCAAAGATCCAGGAAACCTCCCAGGTCTAAGTTGGCCAATGCACCTGAGCTCCACAAATCATTACTAAGCATTCGCCAGGAGACTGGCATAGACAGAGATAAAGAAGTCATGGTTCTTGCCCTCCTGAAGCTTTCAGGCAGGAAAGACTCTTCCTGCCCCGAGTCTGCCTATATTGTCCTCTATTACAATTGCAGTTCAAAGTCTTCCAAAATAGAAAAAAAAGAAAATAAATGATAAATGTGAAGAAGCCTAATACCCCAAATAAGAGTCAATAGATTATATCTGTGAAACACCCGTGATGAAAGGGTAGCATAGCTGAGTAATCTGAGTCCCAGCTCTCACTTCAAGTATAATTTTGAACAAGATGATATAGAGAAAGGGGACAGGAACTGACTTTCTTGATTACCTACTATATGTCCAGCACTGTGATTGGTATCAATTGTATTGAGTACTCATAGAACACATCGCCTCTGAGCTCCCACTTCAAAACATAGAAACCAGCAGTGCCACCAACAAAATAAAAAGAGCACATTCTTCCTATTTTAAACATCTCCAAAACTCAGTTGCAGGAAGGCTAAGAAGCCCGAGGTTTCAAACACATCTGAGATGTGAACCTAGTCTTAACCCCCCAACTCTACCACTTACTGGATTTGGGGCTAAGTTATTCATTCATTATTAAATACTCACTGTATGGCAAGAACATTGCGTGTCACTGGGTTTTAAGAAAACAATGGGTCATGGTCCCTTCCCTTTAAAGCTCGTACAATGCAATAAAGGGAGATAGGCATGTAGAAGTCTGTGAAGAACCGTGTGGGGTACCAGTGAGTCCACTGTATCCAGGTCTGGCAGACAGTAGAGGTCAGGAAAGTTTCCACAAGGGGAGTGACCCTGGAGTTCCACATAGTCACCCAATGAGTCGGGTGACTATGACAAAGAACAAGACATTCTAACTTGAGCACTAGGGCCGGAAACAGCTTGGTAAGAAATGAAAATGGTTCAGGGCGGCTGGAGTGAGAGAGCTCTAAACCAGGGGTAATAATATCCACTTTCCTTGTTCGAGGATTAAGTAACATACATACTGTGTTAAACATAACGCTCACATAGGTGCTCAATAAATGTTTCTTTCTACTGTTCCTCTTTCAGTTGCTCTGTTTGATTATGTCATCTTCCAGCTCTGAAATTCCATGATTCTTACAGACTGCACAGGTTCTATTGTGTATTGGTTCATACACTGTCTAGCACATTGTACATGTTAATTAAATAGTCTCTACCATAGTTGGCATAAGTCTGAGTAAAAAGAGTATGTGAATTTTAATAAAAGGTTAAAACAAAAGATGAACTTAGCTTCAATCCTCCCTTCTCTTTGTTCCTCTACAGTACCTTGAATAGTGTTTTGTACGTGTGCATGTAAATGTCGTGGAAGTGTAGAGTTCAACGCATTGAGACAGACTTCAAGATTTTTCCATGGGAACTACTAACCTGCTTCCAAATCCAGAAAAGCTGCTTTTCTGTCCTCAGAAGTTTCTAAGATCATTGCATCAACCATACTGCCAGGAGATTTGAAGTCAACATACCATATAATAGCATAACCTTAGAGCTCATCATTTCTTTCTTTCTTTTTTTTCTTTCTCTCTTTTTGATTTTAGAGAGAGAGGAAGGAAAAATAGGGAGAGATAGAAACATCCATGAGAGAGAACATTGACTGGTGGCTTTCTGAATGCCCCCTGGCCCCTGTGGGGATGTGGCCCACAACCTGGGCATGTGCCCTGATTGGGAATCAATCCGGTGACCTCTTGGTGCATGGGCTGACACTCAACCACTGAGCCACACCAGCCAGGCTCATCTTTTTCTTTTATCCTCACCCGAGGATATTTTCCCATTTTTTGTTCAGACAGAGTGGGAGGGAGAGAGGGGAAGAGAGAGAGAGAGAAACATCGATGTGAAAGGGACACATCGAGTGGCTGCCACCCACACGACCCAACCAGGGCCGGGGACAAACTGCAACCGAGGTACGTGCCCTTAGCGGGAACCGAACCCGGGCCTCTCTGGACCGCAGGCCAACGCTCTAACCACTGAGCCAAACTGGCCAGGGCCAGGCTCATCATTTTTTTACAGAGCTTACCTCAGCTCTATCTCCATTCCCATTCTCCTCCCCTCCACATACTTGTATCTCCTCTCCAAAGAATAGAAACTCTTTGAAACCTTATCTTCTTCATCTTAGCCTTTCCTAGTCACTGCCCCAATGCACAGAATATCTATCAATTGTAGATATTCAGCAGCTATTTGTTAAGTTAAAAAAAAAAACCTGGTTAGTCAGAATGTAAAGAGAATCTCACTCCTTATATAGTAGGATTCCCTGAGTTCTAGCAGCATACTTGTTGGTTGAGTAATGTGGCCATAGGGCACAGGAGGGGACCATGCTACCTCAGATTGTAGCTATCATATATCATTTATTGCATTTCAAGGATAGTCTACATGGTGTAGTGGTTAACATCACGAGTTATAAACCATACTACTTGGTTTTAAACCTTGTTACAAGTCACATAACCTAATTTTTCTGTACATCAGTATTTTCTCATCTGCTAAGTAGGAATAATAATCTGAAATGCTATTTGATAGGATTGTCATGAAGATTTACTGAGTTAATTCATGTAATGCATTGTAGAATAGCACTGGTACATCGCAAGTGCCTAATCAGAATTAGTTCTTATTTTACACTCTGCTAGTTTCACATAAATGTAACTTGGAATAGGGCAGTACTCAGCCATAGGAAGGAAATGCAAAGGCTATTAAGAAGATGGAGGTTAGGAACATATCCAGGAATGTGACTATAAACCCAATTTAGGACAAATAACTTCTCTAGGCAGAAAGGTATTCCTGACATGAGGTGTGAGGCTAAGGTGCTGAGTATCTGATGGAACTCATTCACCTGGGAGGGGAATCAAAGTGTCTCTCTTGGTAGTCAAGTAGCCTACCTCTTGAAGTCTTTTTTATAAGCATGGTCAAGTTGTAGGGAAAATTCTATCATTAAAAAGTATTTCAGCCCTGGCCAGTTTGCACAGTAGTTAGAGCATCAGCCCACAGACCGAAGAGTCTCAGGTCTAATTCTGGTCAAGAGAGTGTACCTGGGTTTCAGGTTCAATACTTGGCAGGAGGCAACCAATGGATGTAACTCTTCTCTCTCTCTCTCTCTCTCTCTCTCTCTCTCTCCCTCCCTCCCTCCCTCCCTCCCTTCTTCCCTCCCAAAAGGAATGGAAAAACATATCCTCGGATGAGGATTTAAAAAGAAACAAAAACATTTTATGTCAAATAAGTTATTTTTCCTATTAAGAAAATTTGTGAGCGGCTTGATATTTTAAACCATACTATGAGACTGTTTTTTCTTAGACGTATATAAAATTTATAAGGCATAGTGATAATGTGGAGCACTTTAAATACAGTATTTAAATATCAGTCACATAAAATGCCAATTCTTTTAATAATAGAGACATATATTCTTTAACGGACTTTAAGACTTTTACTTTTTTGGAAAGCAAAGATTTGGGCATTTAACTAGGTATAAAGCAATAATGTTAGGCAAGGAGAATAATATATATATATCTATTTTTAATCCTCACCTGAGGATATTTTTTATATTTATCAACAGATAGAGTGGAGAGAGGGGGAGAGAGAGAGAAACATTGACATGAGAGAGACACACTGACTGTTTGCCTCCTGCATGACCTGACCAGGGCCAGGACGAACTGTAACTGATGTATGTGCCCTTGACCAGAATGGAACCCGTGACCAATGCTCTGACCACTGAGCCAGACCAGCCAGGGCAAGGAGAATAATATTTCTAATACTAAAACATCATGAGGCTAATAATGATAGAAGGCACATCATCAAAGAAAACATTGTCTTGTGAGTAAAAATGATTAATCAGGCATTGCAAGTGATGACTTATAAAGATAATTGTGGCACTGGACAAAGTCTCTGGGATAAATATATTTTGTTTGACTTATGTCAATCACTCACTCTTTCTCACTTTACATATGTCTTTGAGAGCCAGCTCAGAGCAAACATATGTAAGGGTCTTAATAACAAGAAGGATTACAATTTTCCAGTAGAAGATAAAAATATAATAATTTTCCCTCCCCCCTTGTCAAAATCTCTCTTGTTTGAGGATATCAGAATCCTTTAGTTAGCTATAATGATGTTGCCTTTATCAGAGTACTGTAACATCAAACCTCACAAAAGGAAACAATCTGTTTTAAACAAAGTTTATTATGACAAAATAATCTAACCAACAAAACAGAATAAGACTCAGAGCTGTAAGAGGGGAAGGGGTAGAGAGCTGGGTGAAAGGTAAAGGGATTAAGCAAAACAAAACAAAAAACAAAAACCTCAGGGGTGGGAGGAGGCAGGAGAAGGTAAAGGGGGGATAACTGGTGATGGAGAGACATGACTTGGGGTAGTGCACACACAATACAATATACAGATGTATATATACTTTAGACCTACATGATTTTATTAACCAATGTAACCCCAATAAAATTTTTTAAAAGTTCATTATGTGGCTAGTTCTCAATTACTTTTCTAGTAATACAGCTACAAACATTTGAAAATTGTAATGTAATTTATATTTCTTTTACTTTTATTAAACTATTCTATACCTGGGTTATTGTAGGTCACCTCAAAGACAGTTTCTAAGGTGGTCATAATTTACATTATCCATACATTCGTTTTTCTAGAGGTTTTATTTCCCATCAGAAAGCAAAATTGGATGTTCTTCTATAACCATGGCCTAAGAATAAGTGCAAAACTAAAATACTATAATTCTCAATATAATTTTTCTACTAATTAACAGGCCACCTTTATTATCTTAATTTTTGCCTACAAATTGGTTTAAGGATATTCATTCTTAACTCACAAAGTTGCTGGAAGGATACAATTTGACAGTAGGTATCAATAACTTTAGGTAGTAAAAGTGTTTCATAAATGCTTGGCATTCTTGTTATTAGTTATATGTTTGTTATTACCTGTCATAGAATATTCACATTCTGTGAAGATCAGAAGCTATTCAAATTTTATCATATGCTTAATGAAAAGTTAAAAGAACACGTTGCTTGGCATTACCCATTCTTTTGGAGGTGTGTGTGTCTATGCCTTAAACTAATGATCAACTTCTGTATCAGAGGTCAGGCTCTATGGGTACATAGAAGTGATTTTCCTTATCATAGCAGTTGCAGTAAATTGGCTCCCAAACTGACCATAAGAGACTATCCTTGTGACCAGGTGAAGTTGTATTAGGCCCAAACTTTGTATGCTGGACTGGTTCTGAATTGTATGGCATGACTAAATTTCTCCTTCATCTGCTTGAAAAATGTAATTTAAATGTTGTAGGAATGAGACTCCACAGTGAATCCCCACAGTAATAAATACATACATAAATAAAAATGGCCATTTTATTTCTAAATGGCAGTCCCCAACTGTCACACCACATCAATCATCTGACATACTATAATCTGACTTCTTTGACCCAGAATGTACTTTAAAGGTCAGGTCTCCTGATGAAGAAATTTACTTTAGTGGGTTATGCAGCAGAAATGCCCAAATCCAGAGCACTGTAGTGGTGTTGGCAGAAATAGCTGCTCTTCAAATAGAAAAGGAAGGAAAGACTGGAAGACAATTAAGCTCCAAGTTTTTTTGGCTAAGCACATTTCCTCACGTTTCTGTCTTTATCTCATTGAAAAGTTGATTAAAGAAATGGGGGTGGGATTTCATAGAAGGTGCATACCGGAGTCCTATAGGCACAATTTATTGGGCATACATTTTAAACATTTGGGAAATGCCGTGTTTAGAAAAATTACCCAGATCTCTGGCTTCTCACCGTGGACCAGTCTTCACGCGGGGGAAAAGCAGGCTGGCGCAGAGAGTCAGCTGCTCTCTCTACACAGACGCTACAGCTCGCCCTCCCTCACGCCGCCCCTGCACTCTCGCTCACTTGGCCTGCTTCACCCCGCAGGCACCGAGGTGCCCGCAGTCTATGAGAGATGACAGGGATGCAACGGGGCTTTTTTTTTTTTTAATGGGCAAATCTCCGTTAAAGGGACGGTGTGGGTACGGGGGAACCCAATGCTGGTTTACTTCGAAACAGTCCTACATCGCCCGTTTTGCAATGACTTGACCCAAACCTACTTTTCCAGAATGGCCGAAAGTACGGAACCAAGTGCGGAAGAAGGGACCCTGTGCCGGCTCTGCCACAGGCCAGCTGTGTGCCCTTGGGCGAGTCCGTTAAATTCTCCTGGCCCCAGGTGATGGGCTGTCAACGGGTTGGTGCCGGCTGTGCTTTCTCACGCGGCGCTGCACAGCACACAGGCTCGGAAAGTACTGATTTGTAAACCGCAGGACGCTTCCCAGCACCGGCGTCGGTCAGAGCGCGGCGCCGCAGCTTCAGCAGCGGTGACGGGAATCGCTCCATTCCGAGCGCGCCCACCGCCCACGCGCGGGGTGGGCGAGCGGAAGACGCTTCTCAGGGGAGAAGGTCTGGAAAACCGGCCTAGAGATGCAAAGTTCCTTGGCGGGGGTCAAGCTGTTGGCGGCAGTCTTAGCACCCCGAGCGGCACACTCCTAGTGGGGATGGCCGACTCCGCCGCGCGGGTAGCGCGGGGACCGGTTCCGGGGGAGCTCCCTGCGCGAAGCCGGGGTTCCTCGGGTCTGGCCTGCCCTCCCGGTCGGGACCCCAGAGCCTGGACCCAGGCCTCGCCCTCGCCCTCAACCCCCACAATCACCTTCCCCAGCCCCCTCCACGTGACAAGAGCCGGAACCGTCACTTCCGGCGGCGCGGGCAGCGCGCCTGCGCGGGGCGCCCGGCCTCCGAGAGCGATTGGCAGCGGCGCCGCGCCGCCAACAGCCCCGAGTGGCGGGCGGCGCGGGTCCAGCTCGGGCAGCGGCGGCGGTGCGGGCTGCTGTCCTGACGGTGTGCGTCGCGGGAGGCCCAGCCCACTCCCAGGAGGGGCCGGCAGCCCCGCCCCCTTCTCCATCTCCCTCCCTCTCGCCCTCCCCCCGGCTCGCGCTCCGGGTGCTCAAGAGAGGCGGGGGCGCCCCGGGCACTCGCCGAGGCTTTGGAGTCGCCCCCGCTCTCGGGCCCGCCCCCTAGCGCCCCGCCCCGTCCCCGCCCTCCCCGCCGCCCTCTGCGGGAGCCCGGCAGCTGCAGCGGAGCCGCGGAGCGGGCGGCGGGGCCGGGGCAGTGCGCTCTGGGCGCGCGGAATGTGAGGCTCGGCGGGCCGCGGCACGCACGCACGCTCGGACAGGCGAGGGCGGCGACCCCTCGCGGACGGCCGGCCGCGCGCCGAGCGGGGCACTCGCCCTCTCGCTCGCCCTTGCGCACGCCCCGCGCCGTCCAGCGCGCCGGCGGGACCATGAAGAAGTTCTCTCGAATGCCCAAGTCGGAGGGTGGCGGCGGCGGCGGCGGAGCGGCGGGTGGCGGGGCCGGCGGGGCCGGGACCGGCTCTGGCTCCGGGAGCTCGTCCGTGGGGGTCCGGGTGTTCGCGGTCGGCCGCTACCAGGTCACCCTAGAGGAGTCAGTGGCCGAAGGTACGGGTGCCCGGGGAGGCTCGGGCAGGCAGGTGAGGTAGGGCTGGGGTGTGGCGGTGGCTTCTCCCAGTCCTTGCCCGCTTCTCTGGTCGCCCTCTCGGTTTATTCGTCTTTCCTCTCTGCATCCTCCGTTGGGCCAGGGGGGGCTCTTAAAGAGTAACTCGAGTTTTCGCTCTTGAGCCGGCTCTTCTTGCTGCTGGCAACTCTGATTACGAGTTTAAGTCATTTTCAGTCCTTCTTGACGCGAGGAAATAAATAGAAAACGTCCTAGCGAGTGATGTGGGTTATGAGTGTGCCAGTGACTCATTAGAGGGTCAGATCGAGCTGGATGGAGGCTCTGCTCTGCCAGCTGTGGTTGAGGCGGGTGTCATGCGTTGGCCTCATCATCCAGTCCCCACCCGCGTCGCAGGGCACTGGACCCTTCAGCCCCTGGCGTTGAACCTGGCTTTGCTCCTGTTCTGTCATTAGTTGAAAAACGATGTATTTCAGCGTGCGCGTGTTGGAAGTGATAATTTGCCCCAAACTCAGTTAGTAGGTGAGTAGCAGGTAAACTTGAAGTCTCTTTATCTTTGTTATTTGGAATTATTCCTGTTCATTCCCTTTCAGTGTGTTTTTGATAGTACTTTAAAGGTGGTATGAAAGCAGTTTAACTTGCACTTGCGAAGTTTTGTGTTTGGTCTTTCATTATCTTGACCAGCCTATGTCAGCAGTTGCAGGCCTGCTTACAAAAAAGTTTACTCCATTTTAAAAAGAAAAGATTCTCCACTTTAGTTTTGTGTATGTGTGTGTGTGTGTGTGTGTGTATATATATATATTTGTAGAATTGGCATGTAGAAAATACTTTCTCTTGTTTATTACATGCTTCCTTGACCTTTGAATTTTTAATTGCAAAATGATATTACAAAATAAATACTTTTAAAATTCGAAAGAAATAATTGGTTGATAAACGGCCCTTTTAAGTTCCAAGATTAAGAGAGAAGAAATTTGAAGAGAGTAGTTTTGGTTCTCTGAAAGATGATGTGGTTTGAAGACAGTAAACTGAGATTCCACTTGTGTGTTCTTTTTTTTGAAATGCCATAAACAATAGACAATTAGTGCCAGAGAAAAATCTGAAGGTTTTTGTCTATGAAATATTCTAAAGTGAAAGAACTGTTGAATTATTTAGAGGTGTATGTCATTGTTTTGCAAAATATTACCCCTAAATAATGAGTCTAGCTGAACCTTGGGGAGGTCGGAGGAAGGATCCTTAGCTTCTCAAAAGAATGAATATATATAGTGATTGGTCATGATAGACAGATTTACTGTACTTTAACGTTTCCTAGCCCTTTATTATTTATGAATTTCAAGTGTTGGTTTAGATTGAGTTGTAAGTTTTAAGAAGACAAGGCTATTACCACACAAGCTATATACTTCTTTCTTTGAATTGTATTAACTAATTGAAGTGTAACTTGAAGCGTATTGCACTCACTTCATTTCACTAAATTGCAGATAGGTCTTTTATTTAATAGAAGGAAAACATTGACATTTCATCAGTAGACTTGGTTTTGTAGCTTCTGTCACTGCTTTAAACATACCTATCATACCCTAAGCAAGTCATTTTCAATAAAAAAAATAAGTAATTTTGGGAAGTGAAATTAAAAATGAAGAATTTCTAAAGGAAAGTGCTCAAACACTAAAAAAAAAAAAATTTCAAGCACTAATGTCATTCCACTGATTTGTCCTTTCTCTTGGAAATAATCTGTAATCAAGTGCTAGGAGGAAGCAAGGGTTGGAAGAAACTCTTTTGGAAGATGGAACTCTACCATCCAACATCCCTGCTCCTGGGACAGGCTTTAGCTTTCCCTGGAGGGGAGGCTGAGGCCTAGGCTTTCTTCCCTTGTGTATTTCTTCTCTTCTCAGCACATACTCAACTAAAATGATCTATAGTTGGTTTATTTTTTGATTCTGGTAATTTATTCCTATTGCAGATGCTTTATATCCTCTCTTCTTTCCAAATAAGTAATGCCACAATTTAGGTAAGATGTTTAAGCACAAGTCTGGTTCTCACTCAAGAATGATCATTCAGTAATTAAATCGGCAGATATGTATGCCTGATTATAAGATTAGGGCAAGTGCTTCTGAAAAGGCATTAAAGTTTAGAATACTTGAATTGGGGAGAGGTTAACCATTATGTGGGAAAAAGAGTAGAAGCAAAGACAGAACAAACAACAAACTTGGTAGATTTTATATTTTTTGCTTTAAGTCAGTGTTATATAATCAGGGGCGAAGACCCTGTGAATGCTGTGCCTCGAGGTGTTTTTGCTGCTCTACTGCAGACATTGGCAGATTGCTCAGAATGACCTCTGCAGTGTCTTTGAGGCTTCACAAAATTTGGTTCCTGTGTGCATGTGCACACAATCTCTCTCTCTCTCTCTCTCTCTCTCTCTCTCTCTATATATATATATATACACACACACACACACATATATACACATGGAGTATATATATTTTATTGTGTATATATATAATTGTGTTGTATATAGACGTATATAATTGTGTGTGTGTATATATATACATATATGTACACGCACACAATTCTCATTATTTTCAGTAGTTATATTCTATGAAGTCACTATAAACAGTGAATTAGTGAATACTGAACTATTGCTCTTAGGGGAAATACAGTGTTAGGTTACTGCAAGCCCATGTTCACATTTTTGTCAACCGATCAGTAACCTTGCTTTCTGTATGTTTCTGTTTAAAGACATCTTATTTAATATATATTGTTGACTGATTAACATTGACCTCGTGGCCAGCAGCACTGCAGTTCATGCCTAAATGAAGTTTAGCTAATACATATGTTCTCTGTAAGGGGCATCACAGCCTTCTTGTGCTTAGGAACACTAGACAACACTTTGGCACTATGCTCGAAAAACATTTAAAAAATAACATCACTGATAAAAAGCACAAAAATGAAAAAAACATGACACTAAATCTTAAAAAGGGCTCCTGTTATGGTGTAAGAACTGAAACCAGAGGCATAGCATCACCTTGACTCCAGCTGGCCTATTCAAAATTTTCACGACTATGTGCATGTGTGCAAATAACAGTGACTAAGTGCCATTGTATTGATTTGGTGATACTGTGTTGATTTTGGAGATACAATTTTAGCAAGTAGGTGACTTGCTAAAGTTAGAATATAGATCCCCAAATAATGAGGATAAAACCATATATGTGTATTTATGTGCATATATACATGCACATACATGTATGTTTATATATTATACATATTTGATTTTTAAAAATATAAACAGGTTATCAGGGTTGCGTATACTTATGTTGTATATTATACCTAAACTATTGGAGTAGTTTCCTCTGTGAAATATTATATGCTTTGTATCATAATGTCTTTCCAGTTAAATACGTGTATGTTTGACAACTTGGACATATCAGAGGGCTGATATTTTATATTGGGGCATTTTCATGTGTTTTTCCCCTGAAAAAATAGTTTAGTTTCAGGAGTGCACGCTAACCAAATTCAACTTTGGATTGTAGAAATGAGATAGAGACATAATGTAAAATTTGCTTGAAGCAGTGTCAAATCGTTAAGCACATGTAATTTAATGTTCTCTTCCAAGTTCATAGCACTGGCTTTTTGATCTCATGCCTCCATAGGCCTTCAGTGCTAGTCAGAGGAATTTAATATAGATCGATAGTGGGAAGAAGTTGGTTCTCGAGTAGGGAACATTTTTAAAAATGTTTTTGGTACAAAGGGGCTTAACTGTTTAGTGTAGAGACTGGGATACTGTCCATAATTTGTTGAGATAATCTGATCATGAAGTCATGGGGGCTGGACAGGAATGGTATTTTGAATATGATTGGGTGGGTAAGACTTTGTGACCTGGGCACTGTCACTAATTGGAGGCCTGGAATTTACTACAGAGTTCTGTAAAAATGTAGTAGCTCTCTCAGAGTTAAGACTTAGATGAGAGTGAGCGAATTTAGGCTTAAGTGTTAATCAGTTTTCATTGTTAATTTCACAGGCAAGTAGTAAAGGACATTTAATTTTGTAATATACATCAGTAGGAAAAGACTGATTTAAGTATATCTTATTTGCAGAAATCATCTCTGGCTTTTCAGTAACTTGTAAGTTAAAAGTTCCTGAAAGAAGACAGAACAGAAGGGGAGGACTTAACAAAAATAACAACTGTTACTACTCCATAACTCTTTATGAAATGCCTTTGTGTGCCATGATCTGTAGTACGTGCTGTTTGATTTACACAGTGAAGAACAAAACAGATTTCTCTGGCCTTGAGTAACTTATACAGTCTAGTGTTTAAGATAAACAAAAATGATCAAGTTAATATAGTTAACAATTTTGATAATTACATGAGAAGAAAGCACAGGGTTTTATGAGAGAAACACTGAGTAGAGGCCTGTAAAAAATATTTTTGTGGAAATCTGAACTATGAGAAAAGTTAGGTAAAGGCAGAGGTGTGAAGGTGGGGGTAGTGTGGAGTATGTCATGAAGAGACAAGTTCCTATGTGGGGAAGAGTTTCAGGAAATGAAACGTGCCCAGAGCTGTGGACTGTAGTAAATGTATCACATGGAAGATTGATCCAAGATGATGGAGAGGTGACCAGGATCCAGATCTTCAAATGCCATTTGAGGATTTTAGATTTTATCTTAAAATTGGATGGGAAGCTACTGAAAGATTTAAATTAGGACAGTGATATGCTCTGATTTGTATTTTCATGAGATCATGGCTATTGCTGTATAGAGACTGGGTGAGAGGTATACAAATTAGATGATTAGTTAAGATGGCATTGGGGATGAAGGTGAATGTTATAAACCTTGAATGGGAAGATGTGGTGGATTTGATGGGTAGGGTGTTGTAGGAAAATTGAACAATGACTTGCTTATGTAACTCTCGGATGAAGGTACCATTTGCCGAGATGCGGAAAAGTAGAGAAGAAGGAACATTTTTTGGGGTTTGGGAGGATGTCCAGTAGTTTCAGAC